TCGTCCATCGTCCATCGTCCATCGTCTATCGTCTATCGTCCAGCGTCTCGGTTTTAGCACACGCCTCTAGTCGACAGTATTCAATGGGCTACCCGTCGGGTTTCAGAAGACACCTAAATTGACATGTCAATCAATTTCAAGTATCTTTTCGCGCGTGTCGACCTTCTCTGACACTGTGCAATTTCCGTTTAAAGAAAGAGAACATTTCTGATAAAATCACGCATGAAAGAGTTTACTTACCTAGGTAAACATTTTCTGTGTGTAAACGCCAACTGATACTTTGGTAAATGCCGCAACAAAACGACAAAACGTTTCTTTTCCAGTTTTGACATTCTTGGCGGATAACCTGGAAAGATTGGATCGATCTTCTTACGGCGAACAATCCGTCACGTAAAAGAAGGCATCGCATTTTTAATTTTCAGTATTATTAACAACTTTCTCTAGACAAACTTTGATCCTTTGTTGTGTAATTATTGTCGATATATTTTGCCTGTGAAAATGATGGCACCTCAATTTGCTCCTGTTCCACTGCGGTGGGATCCTCGTGCAAGTTCGATTTCATGCCGGGGGGGGGGTACTCCCTTATATGGGCCATATAGGTATGTGCGGCCCCAAAGGGTATCGTTTTTCAGCCGTTTTGGTCATTAATAGAGTATCGATTTTAGTTGATTTTGGCTATTTTGGTAATAAATAGGGTATGGTTTTGCACGCTAGCCTTGATATGGGTATGTTTTTAAGAACAAGGAAATCAAAAAAATCCCGTCACAAATTATGTTTACGGTAATTTCACATTGGTCTAAACTAGGGAACTATTTATGACGCAGGTCTGAAACAGGGTTTTGATTTAAGGGTCAGGTCTTAAATAGGGTTTCGAATTTTTGGTCAGGTCATAAATAGGGCAGGGAATATCGCATATTTTGGTCATAAATAGGGTAAGGGTTTTGGGAAGCGGGCCACACACCCCCACCCAATTTTTCTGGGAGTACCCAACCCGGGATTTCATGCCGTTGTTAATGCAGCGCGCACGGATGTTGAGAGATCAACTTGAGTTATTTGAGCCGGTATAAACACTGGACGAATGTACACCTTAGTAACTGTTTACCTTGGTAAAAGCTCAAATGTAAACACAGCATTAGTTTACAAAAGCAGAACTGGAGCTCCGTTGGAAGCCGTTCCATTACATTGGACAAAGCTATTCGCGACATCCGGGATACGAGACCACAATAATTTCTTGACGTAAAAAGAATTTTGGCAGATACATTTTAACACTAGCTAGTTGCAACTAGGATGCTGTCTATACAGAAGAATACAGAAGAGGAATCGGGGCTGTTTCTATTGTCATCAGCATCCACCGCTGGGATCCGCGGCTGTATTTAATTGCTAACACAAATCAGTTGACAAATTGGACCTTTAACACGGTGAAGTTCGATAAAGCCTAGAGAACCTATTGAAGAGGCCGGCAGTGGTGGAATGCCATGGTGAGTGGGTAAACCAACGCGTATTGATCAGTAAGCGGCATTAGTCAATCAACCTGAAAGGAAAATGTTTAGAATTTACGTCCGAAGATGTAGGCTTAGGGTCCGGACGCACTGGACTGACAAAATTTGTTTGGCCCTTCCAAAAATCTCGACAAAATTTTTAATTTGTTAAGCGTGGGCGCACTGAATCACAGCAAAATATTTGTTAAC